AACATGAATACTGAATAACGCAGAACAAAAGAGTGGAGCAGAAACTGTGTTTTTCAAGCCAGACTGATGCATTTTGGATTGAGAATGGTGATTTTCGATGGCTCTGCCATTGGGGCTGCCCCTACACTCCAGCACAGGACTGCACGGGCTGTTCTCACTGCCAGTGAACTCATCCACAATGCATGAAGGTGTCACATCCAGACATGCTACAAATGAGCCTGTATTATCTTCCAGTGTTAAAAACAAACCAGTCTGGATGACCCCCTTTAGCAAGAAGCAAGGTCCTGTGTTTCAAGAACTCTGAGAGGTAGATGTCTCACAGACAAAAAGTATTGCCGGGAGGCAGTTTATGATCACAGGCTGAAATGGTATCACAAGGCTCTTTTTACATTGTGACTTCAGGAGGGATCTCAAAGAAGTGTTTGGTGGTGAACCTATGTGCCACACATTACCATAGGACCTTTCGATAACTAAACTCAACATAAGCAGAAGCTGAGCCAAATGAATGCACTGTACGCCCACACTAAGACAATCAAACAACCAACTTTGGTTTGAAGACAAGATTTTTCCATGAATAAGAAATATGAGATGATTTCTGGCTAAACAAACCTCTTCCTCCACTTGGGAATCACCCTGTTGTCCAAACAGGCAAACACATCTGTAAGATTACAAGCTATGTTTATCCAGCCAGGAAAATTTCTCTCTGAAATCTAATATCCCCTCATTTAACTCTCACTACTCCCAGTCACCCTCTGGAAGAACCAACTTGTTGAAGAAGTGTCAAAATCTGAGGCTTGTCTGTGAGACAACAGATCTGCTATTCTTTTTTTCAGCAGAAAGCCTCTGGATAAAAAAAGCCACTATCGGTACCACAGCTCAAATTAACTATCATTTTCAGAGATGCTGAAAGTGTTCTTCAAGAAACCTTTGGAGGAAACAAATTTTGTTTTGCTTTAATCTTCTTACAGTCAACTTCAAAAATTAATTTTTCTGAAGTGAAAAAAAAAAAAAAAAAAATATATATATATATTCAAATTCACAAAGTCACTTCCAAAGCTAAAACCACAGTTGCACTTGCTGTGGATTTTAAAGAAAAAGTATTATACTGACTATTTTGTTCCAGGGAGCATGTCCTTTAAATAGGAGAGATACATAACAGTAGCTGCATACACAAGTTCAGACCAGGAGCTTGGGGAACCTGGCTCTGAGATGTGGGAAGGGACTGTCCACCCACTTCTACCCTTCACTCTCCTTCTTAACAAGACACAGCTGGTTTCCTCTTTCTGGGAAAGCTGTTGCATAAGATGCATTTAAAAAAAAATAACCCAACAACAACAACAAACCACTATAAAGAAAAATAATAACCAGAAAGAAGACTGTCTCTTGTTTGTTTCAACTGAAGAAAAACTGGAGCAGCATTCATGACTGAGAGTATTCTGAGAACTACTATTCAAGAGACAGATCTATCAACTTCCAGCTGGCACAACGGGGCTGCCTTGTCTTGCAAAAGGCAAAGTTTCATTTAAAATGGTCTTGTAACTGGTGATGATGTTACAGATTACTTGCATGCTGTCTATATTCAAGCCAGAAGCTCCATTTTCACAAAGTACAGCACATGTTTTATTAAAGCACACATCAGAATATATTAAACATTTCTGTTGATCAGGAGAGATCTGAAAAAACTCCAAAGCTTTGGAATAGTTATGACGTGGCTATGGATTTCAGGCCTGGTCCACAGTGAAAGCACGCAGTCCCAACACGTCAGAGCTTAGAAAAGGCCTCGGTTCCTTTCCTTCTGAACAAATGGTCTCATTTGTAACTGTAACCACAACATTCACCTGCCATCTGCTTGCACACGGAGACATGAGCAGGGTTTCAGCAACACAAGAGATTGGATTTGAGTTGTAGACAGAGAATTAGTAATGATGTTATAGTTAAACTGGTTTATTCGTTCAGCACAGATCTGTATTTTCAACTTCTCTGAACTCCCCTTGGGGACCATTTGATGGCTGCTCTTGGAAAAGCTCTGCCAGATGTCCGGGCACCGTACGTGCGCTCTGGTGTCACATGGCCATCTGGTATCCACCAGTTAAAAACAATCAGCATGAGGAGTTTTAACTCTTTGGTCCTTTTTGAGTGCTTGCATAGACTTCTCCAACACACTGAGAGGAGAAGGAAGGAAGTGGTCACTAAGTAGCGATACAGGGACATGGGACAACCAATTCTCATACGGTAAACATGAATGCTCTGCCCCGTTTTACAGAGACGAGCAACTTCAGGAGACTGCTGTCAGACTCTTTTCCCAGGGCACCAGCAGTTTCTCTGCAGGGGCCAGGAGAGGATTTTTCTCTTGTGACACACTGTTTGGCAGCAGGGAACACTATATCCTTTTTTCCTCTGAGACACGAGACTGGCTTAGAGCTTTGGATGGGATGTCACACACCAGTTCTAGCAGCTTTGACTAGCCTGCTGGATGCAACTTCTTCATGTGTGGAAGATTAAACGGATTTCAAACCAAGGAGGTGTCTTCCCTTCCTCGGTAAGGATGGGCACAGTTGCAGAAAGCTCTCCTGCAAATCATCCGGGCACTTCACTTAAGACCTTCCTGCTCAGACAGGGACCAGTGACACTGGTGACACCTGGAAATCCCATACCTGTACTCCAGTACAAACTGTAACGTTCAGTCTTTCCTGCTAGGGGCTTTAAGGATGCCAGACAGTACAGGGGAGACTCATACAGTACAGACTGAGGAGAAGCATAGATGAAATAGCTATTTTCTGTCATCTTTTGTACACACAAACCCTGGACATCTTTTCCAGTGCTCAGGAGGGACTAAGCTGAACGGCACAACAGAGCCCTTCCTCTCCCAGATTCAGCTCATGACCACAATGGGCTGAATTACCGACTCACTGCCATGCCGTGATCCACACCAGGCAGGTCTGAAGGACCTTGTGCCAGATCTTAACAGCCAGGCATCCCTAAATCACACATTTGCCACCACAAGGGGCAATAACTGGATTCACCTCATTAATCTCAACAGACACTACAGCCTCCAGCCACACTGCTGGGTCCCTTTACTCCAGAATAACATGGTGGATCAGCATCACTAAGCATGGACTACTGATGTCTATGCACACCATGGGGAGAAGTTAATTTTCCAAGTCTGTTTATCTGGCATATGAACATTTTTTTATTTATAAAGACTGTACTTGCATGAAAGCTTGGTTTCTGCCCTGCACAGAGCAGACTAATTACACTGATGTTCACTGCTGTACGTTACAGAGGGAGGAAATGCTGATGTTAGCAGGAACACTGCGTGTTTTAAAGATTCAACTTGAATGTCACTCCCATCTCCTCCTGATCTCAGCATTGGCTGCCACACTTTGACAGTGGGGGTGAGATCCAAATTCCACTGGAGGCAGTGGGAAAGCTCCCATGTGCTTCATTAAGTTTTGAGTGTTCTCAAATGAGTAGTTCAAAGCAAAGAACTAAAAAAAAACCAACCCAAAACTCTCCCCTCAAAGTGTTCCACAAGAGCTAGTAAGTGAGCCCAGCCGTGGCTGTACTAGCCCAGGTCCCCATCTCTTCCTGCAGTGCTGCACACAGCCTGTGTGCCACTTGATGGCACATCCAGTGCCACTCAATGGCACATCCAGTGCCAGCTGCAGCTCCACGCCTGGCCCGTGCTCCCGTGGCAAACACAGTCCTGCACCCATCACTGTGGGCTGTGGCATCATGTGCTGCAGCTCAGCACCAAAATAAATCCGTGTATTGAGATAAAACCACTTTTTTGCAAGATCAGCCGTGGATCCAGGGTGACTGAACTCATTCCACGGGAGGGTGTGATGCCCCTCCCAGGAAGGTGACAGCGGCTTCCCATCCTGACAGCAGCAATGCATCGGGTGCAACACAGAGCCACCACAGTGGCATGTCCTGCATCAGACCCAGTCTTCGTCACATCTGGCAACCCCATTTCAGAAGCAAAGTGTTACCTTGGCCAATGCCAAAAGCATGTCAAATGGGAAGAATCTTGACGCTGTTGTAATACAGATTTGGAAAAATCTGCGAAGCGCACACCTGCTGCTGCTGTCATTGTTACAGCTACAGGCTGACTCAAGCCCTGAAGCACCACCTCCAGAAGTAAGTCGACTTCCACTGCTGTGCTTCCCTAAAACCTGTGCACACCCACACTAACACAAAGCAAACCCTGTCACAAACCTTGAGCACAAGGATCCCTATTTGGTCCTGCTAGGAAGTCACCAGTCACAGGGCACCTGGAGACAAAACCAGGGGGTCCTTTGAAAATGATGCCATGGAACTCACCTTCTGATAAGCACAACATTTTATTTCCCAGCATAGTCTTCAGGTAGCCTCTACTTGAGCAATTTTTTTATTTTTTTTTTTTAATGGAGGGCAGAGTAAAGAATGGTCTTATCAGCTGTAAGTTGGTGTACTTTTAAAGCAAGTGTGACAAAAACTGGCAGATTCACAAACACAGAAAATACAAATTTGGGTTGATTCCCAGGTTTAAAGGGATGCTGAGCTTCCACCACTCACTTCTATTATAAACCAGGTAATGAAGCTCAGTAATAACACTGGTTGTAGTAGAAAATATGCTATCAAAAATGCTTTTCAGCAAAAAGTTTGTATTGAAAACACCTTTTTTAACCCTCCATTTAAGTGTCTGATTCCCATACAAGTGTCTTACACAAACCTCCGAGATGAAACTCCAATTACCGAAAATTGTTTGCTCCCCAAAATGAGGCATGGTGGTACAACAAAAAACCACACAGGCCAACCCACTTGCGCAAAGTATTTGAGCTACAGCTTTTCCGAGGCTGCACAGCAGCATCTCCAAACCAGAATCTTTTCTGTTTGGTTCTTTGAAACCTGCTCTAAAAGTTTTAAATGCCCTGCACAAAACAGAGCCCTGCTGCCTGAGTCGGTCTAGCTAACACACAAAACGAGCGCGTTACAGGTAAAACAAGGCGAGACTGTACCATTTGACTCTGGAGCCACTCAATCAGAGCCTCTGCCGTCGAGTCCGGGACCTGGCAGCGCAGCCCTTCTCTCTCATCAGCTTCCATCATCTCCAGTAAGCCCCGCAAGTCCTCCACCAGATGCAGCGCCCGCAGGCCCCCCATAAATGGGGAGGTGGGGGACTGGCAGTCGAAGATGCCATTGGAGTACTCCAGCGCCTTGGAACCTGGAGGGAGCAACATTGCATGGGGTCAGGCACGAGGCAAGCAGGTCAGACACTCAGCAAGACTGAGAAATGCTCAGGTGGCATGCACTCCCTGCACACATTTATCTGAACCAAACTCAGTGCTGGTGCAGGATTCTGCCCGTGCCACGTGGCAATCTGAAGATGAGCAAGCCCTTGCGGGCATGCTATGTGGACGGCAGCTCCAGCAGGAAGGAGGTGGGCTGATCCGACAGAGAACACGTACGCCACAACTGTGCCCATGGGTTCAAGGCACAGGCTGGGCTCCTGCTCCCCAGGATGTACTGGAGGTTGAAAGTCCTGTGGGGGGAACAGGCTCTGCTAACGGTTTGAGTCACCCTGTAGGGACTGCATGACCCAAGTCAGACTCTGATGGTGTCCAGAGGAAATCGTGCTCTGCATTTTTCACATAGACATATGTTATGCTGCTCCAAGGCACTGGAAATATTTTAAAAGAATAAAGAAAAATATGAAGACAAATAAAAAAACTAAATCACTTCTCCAAGAGAATAAGTTTTAAACCCAACAGTTTGACATGGTTGCACTGATATTTGAATGCTAATAAAGAGAAAAATCTCTTATTTGCATAAACTCACAGTATGTATATTCAACCTACATTAAAAGTTGCTATATATTAAGGAAGGAAACCATAAATTCAGGATTAAGTTTGGTTTAAGTCAACCTAGCTAATTCCAACTACACTGATTTGTGACCTTAATACTGTAATGCCTCGGCACAATGAGATGTGTTCGTGACAGAGCATCATTTGTACTGTCAACTTTTGGAAACTGCAGTGATATGCTATATATGCACTTCCACAAACTTTCATTCATCTCATCTGGTACGACACAAAAATGCGAGTATTTTGCTAAATCCCTTTGAAAAAAATAGAGAGAGAAAACCTTCACAACAGCACAGGAGTTGATATCCCTTTGTTATATTACTTCATAGGTCTGTTCAGACACATGGGTAAATTAAGTCTATGGTGACTTAAATATCTCAACATCACTTTTTATTTTTATATTAAACCTCATTTTTGCCATAACCAATTTAGGCTCTTGGAAACGCAGACACATGATTGGATCCAAATACCCGTATCTACTTATGGAAATTACTGAAGTCACAGCTTATGTGTATTTTTAGAGATCATTATGATCCAACTGAATTCACTTTACAGGTGTTCCTGCTATGAGTCCTTAATATCTTAAGGAAAACTGCAGAGAAAAGTCATTGTTGAAACAAAGCATGCACTGTATGATGATTTTTTTCCCTAAAGGAAATTATTTTAAGTGGAACTATTAAAGACTTTATAACTGTTTTGCTGTCCTTGCAGAGTATTTTTTCAGTTTGGGCAGCTGTTTGCATAGCTCTGCTGGAATAGGATTAAACTACTAACTTCTTGCTGCTTTGCTCCTCTGTGTTGTGTACTTATATTATTTTCTAAGCCACTAGGCTCAAAAGTATAGGTTGTGATGCCTCTCCTTGATCCACTTAGAATTTACAGGTGCTTATAAAAAAAATAAAATGTTCAAGGCAGGTTGAAACCAAATGTTTGGATCGAGAGCACTCCAATTTTGAAAAAAGGAAAATTCAATCCATGTTTTAATCCTGGTTTGAAATGTGTCTTGTCCTCAGCTTTCATGGTGCTACATGCACCAGCTGAACTGCATCACTCAACCACTTTGAGCAGCATTTTGAGTCTGTGTGTGAGAGTCTGTGCAATCCCTCTTACTCCATTTATTTGTAATCCCTAAACTATAATGGAAGACACCAATCTCTGTTACCAGCACATTCCCTTCTCAGCCTGAAACTCTGCTCTCCAGGTATGAGAAAGGAGGACCAGAATAGCTAAACGAACAAGCTGTCCCAAGTGTTTACCTGCTATGATGCCATCCATCTGCTCCAGAGCTGCAGCGAGCATGTCACTTGCATCACTCATCATCTTTTCTCTTCTCAGGAACGATCACCAGCTACACCATAAGGAGCAATAAAACACCGATAGTGTGAGTTGGATCCGGAGCCTCAAGCCTGAAATCCAATCTGCAAAAGAGAATTTCATTTCACTGCGTGTTCTCTGAATTCAGACATCACCATTGCTGGACTAGCAGGAAGACTGGGGTCATTCGCTGACCACAAGACTTGGAGGTGTTCACCACTAGACATGAACTGGCATCAGCGAATCAACGTACCAACCTGACAATCTATTTCCTGCTGTTGGTCAGCTCGCAGACTGCTCTGCCCAGAGGTGCGTGCCACTGAAGGGGCATCCCATAGAGCACCTCAAAAATCCCACAGAGCCCTTCAGGGAAGCTCGCATAGAAGACTGAGGGCTTCTGTCACTAAAAGGAAGCTGGAACTCAGCAATAAACCACATGTCTCTGCTGTACTTTTTCTCCCCAAGAATTTGCTGGTATAGAAAAAGAGGAGTCTGACCATTTGCCCAAGATTTCTGGATGTCTGACAATCCAGAAGTTCTGGGCATAGAATCATTTGCCAACAGGCAGGATATCTCAAATGCCCAGGACTCACTGGACATAGCATGCATGCACAGACTATCCCCCCAACAACGCTGCCCCGAGCTTAACACAGATTCATGCTGTAACCATGCAGTCTGATCTTACCCTCACACTTGTAAAAGCCAGAAGTGGTCCTCAGAGGAGTATTTCCAGCAGAGTCTGGAAAAGTGAACCTGCCTGATGTGCTGCCTGGGCAGGTGAACTAGCAGACCCAAAATCCTGATGGGCTACTAGGTAAGCACATGCTTAGGGGCTTTGCTGAAGTGGAGCTGCAGAGGTCAGGGGTGTATCTGATCCCTTCACAGTGGACACACAAGCCACCAAAATAGCCCAGATTGTCGGGGCTTTAATCTAGGACATGCGAGGCTACTTCTGCTATGAATGCAGTTAGGGAACAAAGCTAAACAAACACCAGGAAGGAAAACTCGCTTTAACCTTTTGCATACCCTGCCATTTGGCTGTTGTATTAGGCTGTACCGCTTGTTGACATTTGCCCCAACATAAGCAATTAAGAAAGTTGTTCGCAGTTTCTCTGGCATAAGTCCTGGAAAACAGTCTACTAAAAACCAAGCCAAACCAAAAATTCACATTAGAAATGGAATTTTCTCCCGTATGAGTCAACCTTATTGATTAGCTCCAGCTGGGAGGAAGCTCTTCTTGGAGACTGCCAGATAGCTTTGTTGAAATGCTATCCTTAAAATGCCAACAAACATTTCACCTTCCACATCAAAAATGTTACTACATAAAGAAGGTCCAAACTCAAAGGTAACTTTTGAAGGACAGCACAAAGACTACTGTGCTTTTGGCAAACTGCCTTATTATTTAGCTGCCAGAGTCAGAAAAACAAGAGAACTTTAAAAAGTAAAAATACCAGTAAGTTAAGGCATAGCATCATAACTGAGGACTTCCAGCCTTCAAGAAGGAAGCCCCCAAAATTAAACACAATGTAAATAGTAAACTTCAAGCAGTACAATACCTGTCTGAAATTCAATCTGCAAAGAGAATTTAATTTCATTGAGTGTGCTCTGAATCCAGATATTCAGTGTCTGAATACACACATCCTTCAAGATATTTGGTCCAATGCCTCTACGCCCAATAAAAAAGAGCAGAAAACTTAGCTTTTGCAAACACATTCACTTGGACAATTCTGAAGATAGTCTTGTCCTTTTCCCTTTAGGATATCCTGGCTTGGATAACCTGGTCCTGATGCCCAATAAAAAAGAGCAGAAAACTCAGCTTTTGCAAACACATTCACTTGGACAATTCTGAAGATAGTCTTGTCCTTTTCCCTTTAGGATATCCTGGCTTGGATAACCTGGTCCTGATGAAGTCTAGTAAACATGGGCATCTGCGTTGGATTTCCCTCTGAAGGCAAAGAGCACACAGAGAAACCCCAGGGCTGCTGCTGCCCCAGGCAAAATGCTGATTCCTCATAGTTCTAAGTGGAAGAGGACCAAGGACACAAAGCATCCACAAATCCTCAATGGATAATTAATGTTTGGGAATCTGGAGTGCCCGTGATCTTCTCAGTGTGCTTAAACACCTGATGGGGTGAGGAAAGAAGATGGAGCCAGACTCTTCTCAGTGGTGCCCAGTGACATCACATGACACAATGGGCACACATTAAACAAAGAAAATTCCACTTAAGCATCAAGAAAATTTTTTAAAAATAAAAATCTCTTTTTACTGTGAGGGTGGCAAGCGCTGGAAAGGGGTCTCCATCCTTGGAGCTACTCACAGACTGACTGCCCTGCGTAGCCTGCCCTGGGCCACCTCGCTTTGGGCAGGGGGCACACTGGAGACCTCCAGAGGTGCCTTCCCACATCAGCCACATGGAGCTCAGCACAGCTGAGCATTGAATGATCAAGCATTAAATACAGTATCGAGGAGGCTGCCTAGGCAAAGAAAAGTTGCAGGCTAAAATTGTGCTAAGGAACGGAGTGGTCCCTAATCATGTTTGTTCACAGTGCACCCCTTGTTTCTCACCTGCTGTCTAGGAGAGACACTAATTGGGGGCAAGGAACTGCTAATTTACATTTAAAGCACAATAAAGCCATGGCTCATAGGCACAGAAAAATCACCATACCTGCCCTTCATCCAGGCACAATCACTCCTCATGTTTCCAAAAAAAGCATCCCTTGCTTCTCCTAAACAAATGTTTTGTCCACGGTTATCAAAAATTCCTAAGACAGCTCTACTGAAGGGAGCAGCAGTGGCAGACAGTGGTATCAACAGCAACCAGGAGACCTCCAGCATTTATCCCACTGTTACCAGGTCCTACTTCTAAGGAAGGAGAGACGTCAGTCTGCACAGCGTTTCTGCCACTGCAAAAGGAGCTGTGCTGCTGAGAGCAGCAGTAAGAAATTTTAAGATAAAATATAGTGAAGCAAGACCATAAAAACACAGTGATCTCCAACAACCCTTCTACCACTCATGTTAGCAGCCTGACCAAGCCTACAGCTGAGAAACTTGAAGAGATGAAACAAAGAGAACAAAAAGCCTCCTAACCAAACAGCTGGAGATGACGCAACAAAATCCCATTTCCTCTGTTATTTGGTCCTAACAGTGGTCATTGAAAACTAGCCTGGAACGCCACATCCTGCTCCGGTCACCTTCCCAGCCCAGTGCAACACAACTAGCAGTCAGGAAGTAAAATCACTGTGATAGAAAAATACTCCTGGAGGTATTCTTCCCCAGTAAGGGCACAGAATCACTTTTATTCTTTGTACACCATCAGCGGCACGTGGGGAACGGATGGGCAGGGAGGAAATCAAAGAACTCGTACACCAGCAGACCAAAGAACCAAATTGCACAAAACAAGAAAAGACAACAAACTGCAGGAGGTAGGGGGTGGAAAGGGGAGGAGCAGAGAGAGTCAAAGAAGCGCAATTATTAGACAAAAGTCATAAAACAGCAGCCTTTGTGGATTATATGAAAGAGGACAATACTGAATCACCAGTGGATTAATCCCTGTGCCTGCTGAAGGGCATCAAGACTGCCTCTCACTTCACAAAGTTTGAGAGGAGCCTGGGCTGACCACTAACACAGCAGACCTTTCCCAATAAGGGAATATTTTTCTTTCTTCATTTTCTTTTTTATGGCTTTGGTCTAACAGAAATAAAACCTATGAGAAAACTCAAGGCTTCGGGGTTTTTTTGTTGGCAGTGACTAAAGAAAACCACCCAGTCAGGTAACATGAATGAATATCCATCGTTAAGAAACACAATGGAGCTCTTTAGGAAAACAAGGAATAGCTTATATTTCAGATGATGTCAAGCAGTTTAAATTCCTTTCATTCACAAAAGCAAAAAGAAAAGAGAGAAAAAAAAAAAAAAAGAAAATCATCATTTTAACCCAGATGGATCTACGACATGGCAGATGAATGAGAAACTAAGGTTCCCACAAGAGACAGACACACGAAAGCCACCCCTGGCATAATGCCATCGAGAACACACCTGGGAGGAAAGTACTAACAGCACCCTGTCTGACAGACGATTCGAAATAAGTTTACCCTTGCTTTCCAAGAAAATGACTTACCTTCCTCATTCCTTCAAAACAGACACAATCAGTACAAGATGGGGTGGTGCTGGGGTGTTTTTACAGAAGCAGATCCCCCTTCTAGAGCTCCCAGCTGAATACCTTCCTCATGCCAGCAAGAACAAGCACCACTTCATCAAGGCTGTATTTACAATCCACCATTAAAGAAATAAAAATAAAATACAAATGCAGCTATCTCCACTATCAGTTACTATTAATCTTATTACTTGCTGGTATTTCTACCGCATCCCTGGCTGTTACGGAGAAGATGTTATTTGGTCTTACTTGTTTAACATCCCTTCCTCTCGTTCGAAAACACCAGCCGGTTGCTAGGGCTATGCTGTTCACTTTTCAGTAGGTGGAGATTTTTTTATTTTTATTTTTGAATGACATACAAACCCTCTAGCTACAGTGCTAGTGAAGATGTCTTCCAAATGGCTTACTGAGGAAACAAAACACTGCTCTGCAAATAAACCTAAGGAAAGCTAGAAAAAAACAAGGGGCTTTGTGAATGGGAAATGCAGTCTGCTGGATGCAAACAGGAAACCTGACTGAATATGGATTTAAAATCAGATATTCAATTAAGATGACAGATTTTTTTTTTTTTTTAAAGTGCTTAAACATCTTACATACATAGGAAATTATAGTTTCCCCACCCAGAGGCTCTCTTTTTCCTTGATCAAAAAACACATGGACATGCATCTAAGGGGAACATCTTCAAGCCTTTTTTAATTTTATTTTTATTTTTAATTTATTTTGAGGTGGTCTCATTCTGTACACCCACCTACAAAACACACCATGCTTTAAAACCCAGAGGTTCACAGACCTGAGGAGAATCAGTTGTCTGCTGTCAGGTCTGAAGGCCAAAAGGACACACCGTGCCCTGCATGTAACCTTTCTGGGGAAGAGC